ATTCTAGAGCTAAAATTGACAGAATACCCTCATTTAATCTTATTAACAAATATTTCAATAAAATTTCCAAAGACGTTGCCTTCAAACCTGTAAAAAATAAATATAAAGTGCACTCTTGTGATTTTTTCCGCATTTACTTTAAAAACGCTCCCTCCTGTCATAAAAAGATGATTATTTTTTTGGCTCTTGGCTGACTAATTTTTTGGCAAATGAGCTTGCATTTCAAGTGTTGTCGTTGTCATTCATTTCATTCACTTATTGTTTCCTTGTTTTACAAAAAAAAACCAACATACATAAATGATTTTTTTTGCCTGGTTTTTACAAAGTGGGCGTGTCCACTGCGGTAATTTATGAAGTGTTTTTTTCGCATTTTTTCTCACTCTGTTTAATTGCCACTCAGATGATTTAGTGTCTTTACTTTCAGTCTTTCCTCCCATTGTCTTTGCTTATGACTTTCACCTCGCCAAAGTGAAATTACGGCCTAATGACTAAACATTTCTTTTAATTAGAAGATCCAAAGCAATAATAACAAAAGGGCCGAGCCGGAAAGTTTATTCAACTCTGGCATCTCTTATCTGATCTTGGCTCATTACCGAAAATAATTTTGCAATCAAGGAAAATGATCCGACACCTGAGATGTGAGACCTTCAAAGCGGATTAAATCTGGTTTATGTTGTTTTTTTCTGAGAGTTTTTGGCATTGATGGATGTAAATAATTCTTAGAAGGAAATGTCTCTTTTTCATAAAGCACTTGTAACCTTTTAAAAAAAAAAAAAGTCCTCAGCAGCTTTCACAAAACCCTTGCTGTTATTTTGACACGTTTTTGAAGTCGGTTGTCGTACCTTTTTGGGGCCAAAGTGAGTCACCTTTGCCGCATGCAACGTGTTGCAGCATTGCAATGTATTAATTTATCAACGTTTACCGCTACAATGTCAACGCCACTACTGGCCAGCCAAGAGGCAGCATTAAAAGGCAATAAATTTGTCGGACAACTGGCCTGGCTCTGGAGCATCTGGGACTTCCAAGAAGCCCCGACAACTGCCGCAACTTGATATAGCCAAACAAAAATACAAAAATATATACATTTTTCTGAATGCCCCGCCATTTCTGTTGAAGAAAGAAAAACCAAAGTTTGATTTATGCGTTGCGATGCTCAATGGGCGATACCGGTAGACCAGGAGATACTCCAGACAAACCTCAAGGAAGTAAGAAAAAAATCCGAAAAGCGCAGTCAAATTTCCAGGCCCATACGGCAAACGGCACGACTACCAAATGCGCTCGCCGGCTCTAGCTTGGCTCTCTGCCTGGCGGTTAAATGTGGCCAAAACATAAATTATAGGCCATGGCTAAGTAGGAAAAACTGTTGGGCTTTCGGCTGGGCACAGTGGTTGAGAGGGTTATTCGAAAAAGGGTTTATCTCAAATGAAAATAGGAAAAGGTTTCTTTAAAATAAAGTTTAATTGCCCAAAATATTCAAATATCTCCCACCAACTTTATATATTTTCCCACAAGCTCTTAGCCAAGTTTTTTTTTTGTTACACTATATCCCCTTAAACTTTCATAATGTTTGGCAAACGTTTAAAAAATACATTCTCAGCCAACTTGGCTGGCCTGGCCATGTAATGGAAAAATTTCTCTGTACTGCGGATATTGAGGGGGACTTTGGCTTTTATTTTTCGATCGACAGTCTCGAGATACATGTTACCGCCGTCAAGTTTGCGCCTTTGTCTCGTAAATTTAAACATTTTTATTATAAAACCAAGCAGGCTGCTGCTGCTGATTTCTCACACAATAAGCGCGATTTATTTTGTATGCATTGCTGGCTTGAAATTGATTAATTACAAAGCGGAAGACCTGCTGCCGATCCCGACCAGGCTAAGACCACACTTTTTGTTATGATTACATACTACAATGTTGAGTTCATTTTTCAAGCTTAATTTTCTGTATTATTTCTACTTTATAAGACTTACATAGGGTGAGCATTTATGGCCACGATTCCATGATTATTTTGATTTTATTTATTGTTAATCTGAAGGTTTCTGTTTTTTTTCGTAGAACACTGACACTGACACTACTGACCCCTGCAAGTAATGTGTAGATAGATGTGTGGAAAGTATTCACTTTATAGCGCCTAAATAGTGCCTCTTAATTGCTCTCAAGTGCTTTGCAAAAACAAACTCTGGGGAATAAGGCGTCTTACTCTATCCTAGTGATATCTAACGAGATGTCAAAGCAATTAATTCCAATCGACTTGCCACAGATACAAATTTGTTGTCATTATTGTTGGGACACAATGCTTTTGAAGTCACATGTGTGTTTGCCTTTTAATGATTCTGTGTGCTACTTAAATTCCCAAGAACTGTCTCTGTTTTTTCTTTATTTTTTGTTATGTCTGTTTTAATGAGCTATTAAAATGTTTGGGGAAACTCTAGTAGTACAAATGTAAAAGCAAATTGCCATGTAAGAACATCACGCAACCGAGTCTAAAAAAAGTTTATTTTTATGAAGAGGATTTTGTTTTATGGGAGATCCTTCTTCCTAAAACGATGATGAGATCAAGTCTATTTATAAGTTTTTTAATCCCATATGTAATGTTTGTTTTTTCTTCTATCTTTTTAGGTAAGTTTGGTCTTTCAATTAACATATTTGATTAACAAAACTGTAAGTAAATAGTTATAGTTATCCATGATGTCATTGTACTCTCAATTTATTTGGATTAAGCACACTCCATTGTACGTCCTATAGCCCGTTTAAACGCTCCATTTGCCAAATCATTTAACGTAATTAGCCGGCAAGCATGATGTGATCGCAAAACCTGTTTTCCAGCCCGAAATCCTTCAGCTAATTGGCAAACTGTGGCAAGAACAAAGGCTCCCAGCTCTACCTGTGTCAGACTCAATTCATAATTCAAACATCAGTTCTGGGAAGCGAGTGTGGACACAATATTTCATAAATACTGTCTGGCAACTGAAACCTAAGCTCCGGCCGATATCCACTTCCTTTTATGTTTTTTGGGGCTTTATTTGCAATCAAACACAGAATGCACAAAGCATGGAAGAAGCTACATTAACCTTCAAGCTAAGGTTTTTTTCAGAAACTTATTTTTCGTTTTGGTTCGTAAGCAAATACAACAACGTTGTTTGGAAACAACGATGACAACCGCCACGCTGACAACGACTCTGGGTTTTGTATCTAAAATCAACAAGTTCACGACAACACAGCAAGCACAGCCAAAACACACAGAAAAAAGATAAAAACTTTTAAGCGTCGGGCAAATAAAAAAAAGTATAAAGATACCCAAACACCAAAAACCACCAACACCACCGGTAATAGAGCGACACAAATGTTACCCATTCATTGCCAGACCTTTGCTTGGAAGGTAAATAGAACCACTAACCATACAGCATATAGACAACCCATTTCATACAACGAAAATGGACGCGAAAATTTCTTGCGACAGGCCCCAGCAGGCCCCAGAGCGGATTTCTTACGCTCTTTTACGCTCATCGTTCGTTCATCTTACGCTCATTCTCGCATTAAATGTTTTCTGTTTCTCAGTCTCTAAACGGAGCGCGATGAAGAAGGTTGGCCTGCGCTTCGGTTGATCTTTGTGTGTATGCGTGTCACACATTCACATACACGGGTGTATGTGTGCGTGCGATTTCGTTTCGAAGCCAGCGCACAAAATTTTGATTTTTCTTACTTTTCAGGCTTGCTACCCTAACCAAATTCGGGTATTCGTTATTTGATGAAATGACGAAAGAAATTATATTATTTTTTATATTATATTTTTTATTATTTCAGCATACATTTTTAATTTATTTAGGAATAAGATTGAGTGTTAGTAGTAAATGATTACTGTATATATATTTTTACGAATCATTAAAAATGAATATGAGAAAATGAGAAATGAGAAAATTTCAGAGTATATTTCAGTCGGAGTCACTTAAAACGCCGATTGCTTTTAAGTTTTTGTTGTTCTGCAAGAGGCTTGTGCATGCCTACTCTAACGATGGAATGATTTTTAGGGGAGGGTGAAGACACGAAAACAGCTGATGGAATTGTTTACCTTTTTTGTTTACAATTTTTCAGGCACTTGTTATTAATTTGGGTTATTGTGAGATTTAATTAAATTATTGTCGTCAATTTAATAATTTCCTTATATATTTTGGAACTTTAAAAAAGTCGCCGCTCGAATTTTTTACAGATATACATATATTTGTATATATATACATACATATTTACATTGGTTTTCTGATACCTCTTGCAGAACAAGAAAAACTTAAAGGATATAGGCGTTTTGAGTAACTCCGACTGAAATATACTCTGAAATTTTCTCATTTCTCATTTTCTCATATTCATTTTTAATGATTCGTAAAAATATATATACAGTAATCATTTACTACTAACACTCAATCTTATTCCTAAATAAATTAAAAATGTATGCTGAAATAATAAAAAATATAATATAAAAAATAATATAATTTCTTTCGTCATTTCATCAAATAACGAATACCCGAATTTGGTTAGGGTAGCAAGCCTGAAAAGTAAGAAAAATCAAAATTTTGTGCGCTGGCTTCGAAACGAAATCGCACGCACACATACACCCGTGTATGTGAATGTGTGACACGCATACACACAAAGATCAACCGAAGCGCAGGCCAACCTTCTTCATCGCGCTCCGTTTAGAGACTGAGAAACAGAAAACATTTAATGCGAGAATGAGCGTAAGATGAACGAACGATGAGCGTAAAAGAGCGTAAGAAATCCGCTCTGGGGCCTGCTGGGGCCTGTCGCAAGAAATTTTCGCGTCCATTTTCGTTGTATGAAATGGGTTGTCTATATGCTGTATGGTTAGTGATAGAACCTACTTGAGTGACACAAGTCTAAACACATAATACAGAGCGAGGTGGAGTTTGGAAATCGCAATGCCTTGGAATATTTTTTAATTTTAAATATTCTTAAAATTTTCCCAAATTCCTAGAAAAAGACTAGACGTATCAGGAGATTAGTATTTCTATTTATTGCAAAGATTTTTTAGATATCCGTAGTCTTGCTGTTGTATATTGCTAATCTCCATCTGACGAATCCTATCATGACATACAAAACGTATCAAAAACAAAAGCACCCTCGTCCTTGCTAATGTTATAATACGAGTCGATTCTGTTTTTGGTGATGTTATGATAGGTTTACATTCAAAAGTGGCTTCCAATACGATAAACATCTGACAATTTAACTGAGAATTTGAAGCTGCTTAACTAAGAATTTTGATTAGTGGATTGATCCTGGGTGCCCGCAGTAGTTGTCCTGGCCGAACGCCTGGCTATGAAGTCGTTGTAGATCGCCAGTTCCATGTTCTTGAGATCTCGCTTGACTATGAACAGCTGTGCCCCCGTACGGACAAGCCTCTCTGCCATCTGTTGGTATCGGAAATTCTCCGCCATCCTGAGGGCATCCAGTCTGCAGAACTCCGCATCAGTCATTTGTTCCTCGTCTGCGGACTTATCCAGTTTATTGATGCGCGTTAAACGGCGAACAAGTTTCGCCTGCATCACCACCCTGTCTCTGCGGAGCTGCAATTCCTCCTCTTTCTTTGATAGCAGGAGGTCGACCATCCGGGCGGAAGCCACCCTTCGCAAGTCATCAATGGACATGGTGATGATGCGATTTGAAACCTCTGCTGCAGGCTCTTGTGCCATTTTGAGATATCGGGCTTTTAAGAATTTTAAAATTTGAAATATTTATCGAAAAATTTAAAAGGGAAAATTATTTTTGACAAATATTTTTAATTTCCTTTTTTTTTTGGACGCTCAAAAAAAGTTCGTGTGCTACCAAAAGAGATTGTGCTTATACTGAATTTAGAACTGAATCAGTGTCGAACATACATATATAATGTTAGCCTACTGAGATGGCTGATTCAAATTTTGGGTTCAAGTGGAGTTCCAAACAAGTGGGTTGCTGGGTTTTTAGGGATATAGACCTTATGTGTAATGAGTAATGGCATTGAAAGTGGATCTCTGAGGAATTGCATTTCGCAATTGGTGATTGCAACTCAATACATTCGATGAGAATCCATGAGTGCCAATGTAATGGATACTTTGGGGTATTGCCACCTCCATAAGCCTAACCGCCATCGGAGTCAAGTGGTGGGTTTTATTTTCAACAGTTTTGTTTTGAGGTTTCATCAAATAAAGGCTGTTACTTGAGAGGCATTATGGTTTACTGCTTTTTGATGGTTAATACCCATATTCCATATTACAAGTGCAACGAAAAAGCATTATTTAGGCGCCACTTTTCCCGCCTTTTTGGTTTTGGACTCCTCCAGCATCAGGGCCTCAATCTTCTTGAGATTCTCCTCGATGGTTAACCTATGCTGCTGCTCCTCTTGGCTGAGTTTTTCGGCATTCGGTTCCAGTTCCTCCGGAGGTTTCACCTTACCCTCCGCCTGGCTGTCGCCCTGAGTGCGTCGACCCATGGGCAGTCGGGTGATGAGGTGGCGCGGCACCCTTACCTCCGCCCCGATGCGATTCTCGTTCTTGTACTGACCCACCGCCCTGATGAGGGGCTTCAGGGGGCAGCCCTTCGAGCTGGCCTCGTCCATCAGCTGGCGGGCGTAGTCGAAGAAGAAGACATCCTCGCGCAGCTCCTCAAGCTGGGCCTCCCGGTTGTAGTTGGTGTCCGGCCTGGTTTCGTCCTCGTGTCGACGCTTCACCTGGTCATCCAGCTGGCGGCGCAGCTGTCGCATTCTTTCGAGTTGCTCCTGGCGCTGTTGCCGCTGGAACTGAACATTCGTGAGGTCGTTCTGCAGACGCAGCTCCACTGCCCTTAGTCGCTCCTCCTCCTCCTTCTTCCGGCTGAGCCTAGCCTGCTCCTCCTCCTGCTTCTGTATGGCCAAGCGGGCGTTAATGGCCTGCTCCCGCACCTGTCTCTTCTTGGCCTGCTCGGCACTGTGGGCTTTGCGCATCTCCTCCAGCTGACGGCTATGTCGGGCCAGATCCTCCTCGGCACTGTAGTGGAGTCGGGGCACCAGCTCCCGAGCAAGTTTTTCATTTCGGAGGATTCGCTGCTGCACACGCTCCCTGGCCCGATCTCGTTTCATTCCCTCCAGTTGCCTCTTGGCCGCATTGTGCACATCACACTGGGCCTGCTCCACCTCCTCCAGCATTTGTAGACGCTTCTGGCATTGCTCCGACATGGCCAGAGAGGCAAGAGCCTCCTCTTTCCTCTGACGCTGCTTAGAGGCCAGCAGTTTCTTCTCCTTGTCCTGTTGATCCTTCAGTTGTTTTGCATTTCGTTCCCGCTCCTGGCGAGCCTCCTCCAACTCCTCGGCTTTAGTGGCCTGTCGGTGCTTTTCCCTTTCGGCAATGGATTCGAGGAGCTCTTTTTTGTGCTCCTCCAGCTGCTGACAGCGTTCTGTATGCCGCTTCTTGGCCTCCTCGTAGCCTCGGAACACCTGCTCCTGGTAAACCTTCCTATCCAGTTCCGCCTGCCGTTGCCTGGCTTTGGAATACTCCTCCTGGACCTCACGCTGGGCATTCACACTCCGCAGGACCTCGCTCTGCAGCCTGGCACATTGCAGTTCCCTAGGTCCTGGCCGCAGTTGCTCCAACAGCTTCTGGGCTGCCTTGATTCGCTCCTGCCTGGTCGCCCGCTGCTCCTCGCGAGCGGCGTTGGTCTCCTCCTCCGCCTGCCGCTTAGCCTGCAAGATCTGCTCCTCCTGCTGCTTCAGCTCCCGGGCGCACTCCTCCTCCTGGGTGATGCACAGATTCTGGCCATTGAACTTCTTGAGCAACTCCTCGCCCCCAATACGGAGTCTCTCCTGCTCCTGGTCGCGGAGGCTTTGTAGCTGGAGCTTCTCCTGTTTGGCTGCCTGGCAGGCATTCCGCTGGATGCGAGCGAATCTGCTGGAGGATATGACCACTGGAGGCTTTTCGCGGACAATGGGCTCCCTACGCTCCTGTGGCAGCCACGAGTACTGCATGGTTAAGGTTTTGGCCAAAAACTATCCATTAAAGCTTAGGGTTTCCCTTGAAGTAGTTTGTTGGTTTCCATGGTGGAGACGTTGCCAGGGATTCGGTGCTTCCTTAAGGGTGGCTTCTGGAATTTTCACAAGGCTCCCATCAAAAAACTGACTTGATCATCTCTTAAATGTTGTAATCAACCAAACAGAGATTGTCAAGACCCGTCAACACTCTTGTTCATTTTATTTTAATTAATTAGTTTCATATGAGTGCTTACTGTATGGCAGTGTCTGTTGTCCAACACGGCGACTATTTACTGTCAACGCAAATGGCCAAGATTTTGGCTTGATGGCTTAATTATGTCCAAAAGTTATGTCCAAGCCATTTGGCATAGGCCGTTCAAGTGACGGGTTTTGTGATAAAGATTGTTGATGTTTTTGCCAATTACTTTAAACTTTAAAGTTAAAACCACAATTTCTGTGGCCTGTGTGCGTGTTTGTTTGGGTTGGCTTTTTAACTGTTTAGTGAAGCCGAACCGATCCAATCTGGTGTGGTTAGGCTTTCTGGTTTTTTAACTCGAACTGTCAACTCATTTCCTCGAATGCCCAAAACCCTGCCCTAAACGGCAAATCTATTGGGCACGCTTCATTTGGCCCTCGTATCGCGGCATTCACATCTAAGATTTAATTCAAGAGGGCTTAAATAAATTTAATTAACACCTGGCTATGAATCTGAATAAAAAAAATCCCCAGAACCATACAATGCCTCTAGAGAATATTTATTTCCACTTTGAATTGGGTCAGTGGCTATGCTTTTGTAGGAATATCTGGAAAAAAGTACAAAGAAATCTACAAACTCATTGCGGTGTCGATAAAAAGGGGTTCGACAAAGGCCCTACAAACCAGGTCATTAGGTTTTATTTTAAATTATTTTAAAAGCTATAAGGGTAAGGGTAAATACTATTTTAAAACCTCTAAAAATTAGAACAAAACACCCCTCTCAAATTCCATCAAATATTTCAAACACTTCAAGGCCCCCTTGCCAATGTCTATGACATGAAGTGGTGTCTCCGTGTCTTTAGCTTGCCAGCTTACACCACCGAGAGGAACACCTCATTGGAGACTGTGTTAAGTACTCCGATTCTTATCTAATCGAAACTTATTGGCTCCCCATAGACTTTGCCTGATACCATGTAAATATACGACTGTCAGTGCTATCTGTTCTCCTCCAAATACATAGAATTACATATACATATATAGAAGCCCAGTGCCTGGCCAGACATATATCACTTGATCTTCAAGTGCGAATGACAGCTCCGAGTAGGAAAGACAAGAGACCAGCAAGCCTTTCGCCTGTCCGGCACGATGACTACCGTCCAGTTCGTTGCTTCCACTTGAATGACTCCAAGTACCCCCTGGTTCCCTGGTCGGAAAACTTGAAAAACTAGTCTTTGTCTCCGTTTCCAGAGGCTGGAGCACAAGCATGGCCATAACCACACGTACTTTAGTAGGTACTTTCAGAACAAAAACACTTGGAGAAAAGTGATTAAATATATATGCCTTATAAACTCTATATATGTTTAAAGCTTTTCTCTCTGTGTAGAATGGGTGATCAAGAGCCAACAAATGAGTGCAACTGTTTCAGACTCAACCTGCAGCAAAAAACAGAAAAAAGAGCAACCCATATAGACTGAAACAGAACACAGAAGAAGAACAGGGCCAACAATCCCCAATGACTTCTCTGAGAATCTCTCTGAATCTTCCGACGATCCGCAAGTTTTCTTGGTTACTTGGTTTCTGGTTAGAGAGCAATTAACATGCAATTAAGAGACGTTTCAATCCAACGAGCCATAGTCGTAAACACTTTGGGTTAACATCTTCTGAAGTGCCGATACACAAAGGTTCTAATTATAAAGTTCCAATCGTCCCATAGGGCTTCCAGAGAAAGTTCAGACAGGAAATTGATGGGATATTTATTCATTCATCAATCAGGGCACACCTTGGAATTTCGAGATCATAAGTTAGATCATAACTTGTAACTTTTAGTTGTAGGAACATTGCCATTTCTTGTCTATGAGCTTGAGATTTAATACCAGATTGTAGACTTGATTTATGAGACTGTCGGTCAAGTTAAGAACAATAAGTGCCAAATGCTCAAGAGTCTTATGTCATCGTTAGAAAAAAGACTTGAGTGTAAATGTAATAGTTTGTCTCCCCTCCAAAAAATAGAAACTAAATCCAATTGTAAGACGCATATTTTTTGTGAAGTTAAATAATTTGAACTTTTAATTGTGTATTTTCATTATCAATTGAAATTGTTCTCAATTTTGTTTAGTTCATTATGGGGAATAGTTGGCAACTCGGAGTGCGATTGTGTATTAAGTTTTCCATGTCTGTTTGCCCAACAATACAACATTTCAATGTCAACTCGATCACGTTTTTGACGGCAATTTGTAGCTGGATTTAAGTTGATTTTTTCTGAATTTGATACACTCTAAAGAGCATGGCAAATTGCCCAAGTGGTTAGGGGGTCTGAGGCTGGGCGGGGCCAACCCCACATGGAGCTTACATGGGTTTTGTCATCCATTCAGAGTCATAAATACCTGCGACCTATTGAGTAACACCAGGGGCTCTTCTGCTCCTCCGCATACTTACTGATCATGTTTGTCTATAATCTGAGGTTAATCTGAGGCTGGGTTTTGGTGTTGGATTCATAGAACATGTTCACTTGCTGCTCCATTAATCATATAGGTTGCGGCTATAATGTTACAAAATTCTTTAGATGGGCCCCGATTGATCTCCCAGCCAAGTTCATTGCCCAATTGATGACTCATTTAAAACAATGACAGTAAGAATACTTGCCCAAATTATTTTTATTGACTTTATTTGACTTTTATCTTTTTTGCCAACGAGACCAATTCAATCTGCCAATCAAACAATTACAAACTCTGTAACCGAATACACCAGTTGGGGTATTGATTTCACCAAAGGAATATTCCGTTCCACACACCCCTGTCCAGCGGATTCTTAGGAGCGGATTCTTACAAAATAATAAAAAAGCGAAATCAATCAATCAAAAGGCATTAAAAATTTTATTTGAGGCCAAACGCACACAGAAGTACAACAAAAACTTGAAACCCATTCCGACGCCAATCACACGCTCTATTTACACCAAATTAAAAATTCAGAAACTACAAAACAAAAAAAAAACTTAAGAGCCGAAAACGAAAATGAAAAACTAGTACAAAATATTGGTCAAAATATTTACCAGCCACACCCATGGATAGAAATTAATGATTAATGATGGTCAGAACGGGGCTGAGAAAGTGCCCTAAACGGCAATCGATCGAAGTGGAAATTAAATCTTACACACATTATAAACACCAGAGAGAGAGAGAAACTTGGAAGGGGCATCAGGTTTTATCATCATCATCTTGCCCCTTTATGTGGCGCCCACACGAGCTGGCCATCACCCTCATTTGTAAGCCAGCTTTTTGTTTCTTTTATTTTTGGGGCAAGATAGCCATCGATGGCGTCGCGTAACGCGCCAGACAAATGCTGAAAACTTGTCAATCCATCCCCATAATTTATGCAGATTTATGCCCAAGAGAAATATTTTATAATTTGTTTTCAACTTCTGCCAGAACTGCCACTGCCAAGGGGACCGCTAAGCCGCTTTTGGCCCATTAGCATAATGGACCAAAGGTGGCCAAAAAGCCACTGCTGGACGGCTGGTTGATCTTAGATCAGTGGCTATAACCAGAATCCCATGAAAAATCTTCTCAAGAACCAAACAGCCAATCCCCCCTAATGATGTGCTAATGTCGCCAACAATATTTGACAACCAAAACCGAAATATTGTTTTAACAAATTATGGAAGCCAAAAATGGCTTGTGCCGAAGGGCACTTTAGATAAAATAACCATAAAATTAAATATAATAATATTGATGAATATAGATGGAGGGGATAAGAAAATGCTACTTCATTTCTTAAGACAACAAATATTATAACTTCCGAGAAAAAAACTTCTTAAATTTGCCTACAAACTTCTGCCATAATTTCGTTAGAAAAAAGATTTCATCTGAAATAGTCAAGCAAATATAGACAAAGTTTTGAAACCTTTTTTTTATTTTAGCACACTAAGAGCTTTTATAAACAATTAAGATAGCATCGTGAATTTATGTTGCAAAAACACATTAGCAAAGCAAATTTATAAAAGATTTATTGATAAACAAAGATAGAAGTTCAACGAATTGTATTAAATACATTTTCTCCTTTTATTTTTAAACTAATTTTTTTTAAGCCATTGCATAAATCTAGAAAATTAATACGTTTTCGATCAAAATGGTATGCTAATTTGAGCGGCTTTTTGTAGGAAAGAAATTCGTTTTCAAAATTAGTCAATTAATTTCTATTAATTAATTTCAAGACAGTGGGAAAAAATGCTGTTGGGCATATACGATTTCAAATGCATAATTATGCATTTTAGTCAAACTGATTAGGTCTTAAACTAATGATCCAAGGTCGGTTCGGTGTTGAGGTATTTTGTATATGGAAAGAGACTTAAAAATGGTTGGCAATATATTGATTTTGGATAAATGGAATTAAAGAAAAAGTTCGAAGCTTAGATACTTCATGTATTCTTCATAATTTTTTCCTTGAATATTTAAAGATTTATTTGATTTTTCTCACCTGTTCCGGTTCGTTGAAACCCGCATAATCAAAGTGATTATAGCCTTAACAAATTGAGTCTCAGCCGGACAAAAGCATAAAAAGCTAAATGCACTAAATCTTTGGTAAATTTTCTGGCCGAATGCAACCTACAAGCCCGCATTATTAAGGCGACTGATCGATGGCTGCTGCCAATTATGGTCACTGATCTTATGGACCAAGACGACCCACAAAATCCCACTTCCCGAGAAAGAAAAAAAAAACAAGACATAGTTTGTCAAAAGTGTCTCGTGAATGAAAAACTTGAATGAATGATCGGCGTGAATGAATCAGCTGTGAATGCAGCTTGGG